TTCCAAAATATCATTATTTGGCTTGTTACTATTATGCTTTAAGTTCCATCTTGTATTTTACTTATTTAATTAAGTTATATGCAGAAGAAAAGAAAAGCACTTCCTGGTCTCCTGGCTGTCTTCCCATCTAACAAAATATTTTCACTGAAAAAAAAAAAAAAAAAAAAAAAGATTGGGTTACTTGCCCAAAGTAGCTTTTCAGCTAGTTTACATTGTTTAGTATATCGTTCTCATACTAAGAGTGGTGTTGGTTTAAAATATACATCCATGCACCAAATAGGAAGAAAGACCCATGAAAAGACTTGGTGATGGTGAATTTGTGTTGTCATCGTTTAATTCTAATTCAGATCAAAAACCTCTTGAATATGAAAGATTCTGTGTATACTTTCTCTTTTTGGCAGTTGCTTCTGGCTGTTCTACTTTGTAATGAAGTCCCCTATGTCTGKATATTGTCTGGGCACACCTAGTAGATGGGGACCCTCAGATACATGCAGAGGATTGAGCCACCCCGTGACTTTGCAATGAACTTGGCTCTGTTATGAGATACTGCTCACACAGAGCAGCCAGCGTGTGTTATCTCTGGCCGTGTACAATATTGAACTTCCAATGACTCCCACTTTTCTTCTGGAACATAGGCATTTGAGTTTCAGGTTTGTACCTGGTTAGGAGAAGGTTTTGTGACTCCTTCTGTTGGATCTTACGTTCTGGTTCCATTTTGTCCGCCTTTTGGATTTGTCAAACAGCTTTCTGGACATTTCAGTTATGAAAACTAATCRCGAGTCAATCCGTTTTCCTCTATTTGAAAAGTGTATGGCTTAAGAGAAAGCAGGAAAAATATGTGAAGTACAAGAGAATCTTGAAAATGTTACCAAACATCTAAGTGAAATAAGAATATTCCCCATGCAATGCCTCTGGGTAAGTGAGAGAATCCGGGGTACTCGGGGCGCTTGTCTAATAACCTTTTTGAAAGGCATATTCCCCTGCCATTATAGCCACTATAGCAACAGTATATGTTTCCATTCAAGAGTGAATGTGTGCTGGCCTGGTGTGTGTCAACAGAGTTTAAAATGAATATTCTCTGTTTCATCAGATTAAAAGACTGCATTTTTTTTTTACCATAGCATTTTGGTGTATAAATTTATTGTTAACACACACACAAGCACACATTATACATTATGTATCTGTAAAAAAATGCATTTCAAACTACATAGATCCATTTCTGTGTATATTAYTGTTCATTGCATTTTGTATAATGGAAAGGCTTTGTATAACATATCCTTATGGTAAAAAGACCCTGTCCACTATTAGTTGAACATGTGCGTTAATGGTAATGRGTCTTTAAAGAAACAACAAATAGAAGTGATGGAAACATTGATGGGTGCTGAAGGGTGAAGCTGTTACTTTACTAGTAGTACAGCCTGCCCAGCTGCCCAGTTTTGTTTTTGTTTTTGGTTTGTTTTAAGTCTGTTTGTATGGAAGCTGTCATTTGGTTTTCTTTGCTTCAGGTGACCTTAAGCAATGACAGTAATTTTAGTAAAACTATCAAATTGTTTTCTTCTACCTGAGTTCAGGTTATTTTACTGTCTTAAGCATTTTTAATGTTCTGAGATTCCACCTAACAGTGAAAACATGTAGGATTCAATCAAATGAAGACATCTATCCAAATGTTATCTCTCAGTAATACATATTTAAATTGAAAAAATATTTCCAGTTAACTGTTTAACCATGAATCTCAGAACATCCTTTGTTCTCTTAATTTTAACAAAAGGAAAAGTGAAAACTCAATTCATTTCTCATCAAAATGCACAATAGGAGAGGRAAAAAAAAGACTTTAAATAGGCAAGCCAGCACGTAGGACTAACTTTTTCAATGTTAGGATTTTTCTACTTTGAGAGATAGTGCAGCCTTACATCAGTTCAAATGTGGCTGTATACAATCAGAGGAAAAACGTTTAAACATCCCAGCATGGGTATTTCCATTTAAATCTGATTACAGTGAAATAAAACTGTGGCTATTAAAGGTTTAGAAGAACTACAAATACAAGCAGTAAAAGAAGACAGTTAGTAAATGAGGTAGTAAAACATTTCAGCAGGGCAAACAGTTATAGCACTCAGCCTTCCTGGAGCAGCCTGTGCTATTCACTGCAGACCCGTGCAGTGTTCCCTGAACTGCACTTAAACCTGCAATTAACCTTTCACGCCTAATGAAGCTGTTTTGCTGGAAAATTAAAATATATAGTACTGCCTGTTTTTACAGAGGCTGGGAGGAGAGCTCTCAGAATGAATGACTTTTTTAGATGCTTTTGTTCAAATGCAGATTTAAAGTGCTGTTTGTATATAAATCGGAAATGCACTTTTTGAGGCAATCTCGTTTGATGTGCTGTATTTTATTCCTGTACTTATTAACTGTTTTGTATAATTGATAAAAAAAAAATCACACCCCAGTAATTTTATGATTAGGCAGTTGCTTCCTGAGARTAAACTATTACCATTTAACTTCCATTAGGAAAGACAATAGTTCTGCTAAAGATAACCACATTCATTCATATTGCTTTCTCTGGTGTGCTTCTCATTGTGGAAGGCAGTTATCTCATACAAAAATATACTTTCCACATACATATTTGACTGGGCACACTTCTTAATGATCTTTCCATTCATATCCATAAAACAAGCTGGAGATTGTTTTAGCTGCACAGAAGTAGGTCAGGCTATTTCTATAACATCTAGTGGAAAAGCAAACTAGACTTAAAAATAGGTCTGAGTCTGCAACTGGGCTTGAATATCCAGATTGTCAGAGGTGACCCATTGATTCTCCATGTGGGAAGCACATTGATTCTGCTTTTCCTTATGCCTGAGTCAGAACCAACCAGAGATCGTGGACTGATTTGGCAAATACCAGTTCAGGTAGAGGATATTTAAATGGCAACATTCAGGGAAGGCAGGAAAATGAAGTAAGCAATGGCAACAGATACTGAGTATTATGGGACTTGCAGTTCCAATGACAAAGACTATAAACACATTGAGATTTGTTGTCTGGTAATGAAACTACGAAATAAAGGTAAAGTTCTTATTTAAACACAACATTTTTTATCAAATCTTCTGCTTCTKCTTCTATTTTGATGTGAGTTCTGCTTGCCTGCAGTGCTTGTGCATCAGCTTGACTTGGTAAATGAAATTCCTTTAGACTGCCAGTCTGAAATAATGAATTGGTCCCCTGGTTAATTGTATTGCTTTGATAACAAGACACTATACTGGGCTTAGAGAACATAATAAATGAATTTTATCAGATGATTTGTGTGACGTTTTGAAAAATGGTCTTCGAGAGTGACCCAATTTTAATGGAACTCTAACAGCATGTCCCAGTATATAGCAGTAGACTTGAAGGAAAACGTTCTTCCTTTATGTTAATTGTTATGTAAAGTGGGGCCAGCATTATACATTCAAATATATTTTTAAATATCTTTAAAAAATGGAAAATCTTTCTTAGATATTTCATTTAGCATACTTCTGACTAGCTGTCAAAGAATCATATGTAACCAGGTATCAAAATGCTATCTAGGTTTTCTGCTTGGATTTGCTAGTACAAGATATGGCTGATATTAGGCGTTTCAAAGATCCCTTTTAATTTTTTTTATTAAATCCAGTTTAAGGAATCTCTAGCTAATGCCAGGAAATACTGTGAGAAAAAAAAAAATTAATGTTGGTTCATACATATCCTGAAGTACCAGCAATGATAACTGTACTTAGTGTTTTACAGCACAGTGCTGTGCGTTTTCAAAGAGCTCTATTTACATTTATTAATTCTTGCAGTATTTCTGTGAGGTGGAAAAGATAATGTTACAGTTAGCATTAGCACMGAATTTAAGGATGGTGGAAACTTGAACCATATCAAGCAACATATAATATGTTCAAGAAGAAACATGTAGAAACACACCCAATTGAAAAATATTTTTCATAAGTTTTGTGTTAAATAAGTGTTGCAATTAGGGAATGCATAAAAAATAGGCAATGCTTAAATTGGATTTTGTACAGGAGAAAGTGAGCTTAACATTGGCTTAAGTTAAGAAAATATACACTGTTTGTTAAACATATTTTAAAAGATTTCATCGTGGAGTAGCATTGTTATTGGTGACAGTCTGGGATGGACTGGGGTGTGTGGAGAACCAGTAGTGACTTCGCCTATACTGTCTCTATAGGCAGACATGCTTTTGCAGATAGGGCTCTCATGGTTTCTTTGAGGTCATGGTGGAATAAGAGCATTTGGAGGATGTGAACAGTGCTAATCACTTTCTTTACAACATCACCTGTGTGTGCTTACAGATTTTTTCAAAAAGGACTGCCATGGGTTAGGCATACTGCCAATCACAATATTTTAATTGAAAAGTCAGCTATTTCTAGCAAAATATACAGTTAAAAGCAAATGGAAGAATAAGTTTTTAGACTACTCATTTATTTTGCATGYCTATCAACACTCTCTGTAATACTTTGTCAAGTTTGTAGCAGGTCATGAAATACGAACAGCTTAACCAGAATTTGCAAAGGARAAGATTTTTGGTGAGTTGTCGAATGTTGCATTTGAAATTTGTCATTGCATTTTGAAATTAGGACAGTATATATGTTGAACAGAGAAATGTTTAATGTGTTTAATACAAGAAAATCTGTATCACAGAGAGTTCCTCATCCACCAGAAGGATGATTTATCTGGTGATAAACAGATGTTAAGCTAAGGTCACACACCTGATCAATAAGAGATTGAAGAGGAACTGAATTCTCCTGATCCTAGTCAAATGTCTTTAACTGCACATTTTTCTTTCCCCATTTCTTCTCCATTATCAGGTAGAATTTTAGAAAGTGAGAACTTGACATCTATCTCAGAAATAAAGCTGATGATTTCTGGGAAAGTACAAAAACTGGACAAGAAAGGAACCATCATGCTGCTATGGAATTGTTCTCAGAAAAAAAAATGCATTAAATTTTKTTTTTCCATTATTTATCTTACAGGTCTTGCGATTGCAAGTGCATTGATAGACATTTCACAACAGAAGCCTGCGGACTGTAAAGATAAGTGTTCAGGAGTCAGAAATCGAAAACATCACCTTTCAACACGTCAAGGGACTTGTGTCTGAGACCCAAAAACTGCAATTGTATATTCTGTAATGTTTTCTTTTTAAATGGCTTCCATTGAAAGCTACACTACAGCCTCAGTTTTTATGGAGGCAAACCTAGGAATGAACGTGTGAGGTATGTGCTCTGTTCTAGTCTCACTAGCAGCCCACTCTGCCCAAAGCAGAACAAACTTATGGTGGGTATGAGTGTCTTTAATGAGCTTTAATAAAACCAGTGGATTCTGATATCAGCAAAATACGAAATAAAATGCCTAATATGCTTAATCCTGAACATATCAGAGCAGGGAAAATCCTTGAATACAACCAGGAAAAACTGTACATTGTTTTGTAATGTAGAAGGAAATTGTATAACTGAAAATTAAGCAAATTCCAGGAAACTAAAGGACATTTTTGTATAGCATAATGTAATAATGAGAATTGTACAGTTCTTTCCTTGTAATCAGCATTAAGATTATCTTTCCAGTAAGTGAGAACTAAAGAGGATCATTTGGATTTAGGTGTTCTGTTATCATTGCTCAAATAGGTAGGCAGCTTTTGAATTTAGTAGGTAAGTACAGCTGAGAACACCACACATCATATTTAAATGATCATTTCATATAAAAGCTTGATTTGAGCATTTCATGTTCTTTTTTTTTTTATATTGCAAAGGGCTCAGAAATATAATCTTAGCCACAGCATAATGATGGGCGGGTTTTTATGTTTCTATTCATAAGATTTTTTTTTAATTCTGAATGAGATATTTTACAAAGAGTGCATGTCAGTCTTCTATGCCAACTAACTCATTATCAGAATTGATTGAGCATGGAAAAGCCTCTTCGGCAATCAAGTTTGCTGTTTTTCCCAAAGCCATCTCCAAGACAGCAAGTTTAAGGAGAGTTTAACTTACTGTTACTCTGCAGTGAAATACTTGCTTCCATTTCAATATTGAAATTTTCTAATATCTGTGAATTGTCCTGACCTCTGAGTAGAAGAAATGAATCCCAATCAGCATTTTGATCCATTTTTAATAATAAGGTATGATTTTCTGATGGTGTTTTTCTCCCAGCTGCAGAGTTCTATCTTATCTTCACTTTCACATCAGTCAAAAAAGATATTCTGTATATAAAAAATGAAATAAATAAGTATTAAAAATCTARGCTGCTTCCAACAGTGGTTCTCAAAGCCAGATGGGACCTCATGCAACCAGTACTCAGCAACAAAAAGCAGATGAAAGACTTTCCTTTCTACTGGACATTAGTCTTGCAAGCTTTTGGGGACTTGGTCACCACAGCAGAAAATCTAGCCTTTAATGGCTCTCAGTCTTTTTATTTACTAATAGATGATGAATTTATGAAAGATCAAGAGAATTCTAAGGGGTAGGTAGCAGACATGTCATGTTCTAATTTATGCATTACAAAGTGACAGCGGTATAATATGAAACCAGTAGTTTTGTAAGATCTTCTTGAAAGTGTAGTTTCTCAGCTCCAAATTTGCCACTATACTAGTGCAGAAGAGTGATAGAGAGGTATAAATGCCTCATGTAATGACAAACTTTTGGTAAATATGAAAAATATAAAAAGATAATTGATGTTTACTACTATATCTGTATTTTTGATTTGCTTTTTATTTCAGGAAGATGATGACATTTTACTGTTCATAGTTGACTACATAGTTACTTGCATGCCATGGTGGTGCAGTAGCAGTAATAAAGCCCTGTTGTGAATTGTGTTTATTTTGTAATGCCATTCATTCATTCATAGTAGTACTCATTTTAATTTGGATGAGGACTAAATGTAAAAAATAACTATAAAAAGGAATAATTGTACAGTATGTAGTTATATCTTATACAGGAATATTAGGTTGCATCTAACCATGACTGCTGTTTTGTTTTGATAAATTATGCATTTATGAATTATGGTATAATGATTTCTTATGGCATGGTTGTTTCAGTATTTTCATATCTTAAAATAAGATTATTATCCTAAAATAATGCCATCAAAATCTTGTGACTTTTATTGACTATTCTGACCTCAATCTTTCATGTCTTAAAACTTAAATAATTCCTTTTCAAAGCTTCTGTTGGGAATTTTCAATCARTGCTGCTAAGTACATTGGAAAAATGGTCTTTTGAAAATGACCCATTCTGTCAGTTTTAATGTTGATCTGCTAAAATGAAAATAAACCAGTAGTTGTTTTATATGGTGAATATACTTAAGAACAGGAAAGAACCACTTGTTTGGAGAATTTCCCAAAATCTGTGTTATCCTCAACCTAAACATTTCACATAAGGAATATACAGTGTGTGTTTTGGAAATGTACCAGAGACCTCCATGGACAGACAGACGAACCATGCATTCTTGYAGAGCAGTTATTTTGACTGTTCTTATTCAAAAAAGGATATATGCACCTGTATCTCAGCTGGAGTTTGACAAGACTTGAAAAGCAAATTTAAGTGTTAAGAGATCAAAAATATTTTATTGCAACACCTGAGATGGGCAAATAGCTATCAGGCACTTTCTTAGGTTAACAGTTAAAAATGTTACAAGAAAAGCATGCTTGTCGTGGGAGCATTCAGCATTTTYGTTCACTCTAAGAATATTTTTTCCTCATGTATCATTCTTCTCTCAGGGTTCCTGATTGCATGAAAAATGTTAAAGACATATAAAAATAAAATAAACACAGAGAAATGCTTATATAATCATCATGATTAAATACTAGAAGTTTGCCAACACTTCTCAAAATGAAGCCTCAGAGTAACTGTTATTGCTTTCTATTTTAAAGGTGTAAAATAGTATAATATACCTAATAACTACATCCTGTCAGTTGTTGGCAAATTCTAACTTTTTAATAATGCCCACTGTTCATCACATGAGAGGTTTTATCAACTGTCATATGATGATCACTTCATGAGAAAAGCAGTTTTCTTAAGCCCTGTTCCCCAACATTAGCTTTGGAAATATTTCTTAGAGTCAGAAAATGTTGAATGGCCTGTTTTAGCCCTAGTATGATTTATGTTGGATGAAAAATAAACTAATAAATGCTCTTCTGGAAAGGAATCCCTAGTGAAATTTTAATTGTCAGGATTCTAACCCATTCCCTCAGTGTATTGGTTCTGTGGAGGGAAACTCAGCAACTCTGAGTTACTGTTGAAAATGAAAGATAGACAATCTGTGATAGCATGGATTCACCAGCCCCTCCATTCCTTTCTGAACATATATGCTGATATAAAGTCATGAGCTCCTTAAATGGGATTTGAGCACATATGTGTCATGTAATGCTAATTTAATTTTACCAAAAAATATATATGCTTATATGCTCCCCCTATTAAATTGCATCTAAACCGTAAAGTCTCGTTCTATAAATATTAAGATGTGAAAATATTAATAAACAGGAACATTCAGATGCATCTGATTTTGAAATACTCCTAACTGATTGTTGTTGAAACTCTCATTCTCAGCAATCAGAAAAAWTATGAGAAGTTCACATCTGGACATTGAGCTTTTATGTGTAAAATCTGCAGAAATGATTGTTTTCTAAATAATCTAATGCGGAGAGCTGGAATCCTGATGGTAAGAATTTCAGTTTGGGATAACTTTAACAGATAGTCACTCGTCATGCATAATAACTTTGACTTTCATCTAAATWACAAAATCATTATGTATCTAATTTCATTACCATTTTTTTTAAAAAAAGCATCTGAAAGGTTTCTTGACAATAAAGAAAAAGTCTCTGTTAAAGGTATTTAGAATTTCTTCCCTTTCTGTTATGTAAAGTTGTCCTATCTGGATCACTTGACGTTACTGTAAAATAAAAATATAAATTAACTGTAATTTTGCAGTCTTTAGGATGCAGTGTTGCCTGAAAGAATGGTAGTTTAGCACTTTTTTTTTTTCAGCACTTTTTTTTTTTTCCCCATCCTTATATATTGATAATATAGGAAGTTTATTTTATATATTATATAGATAATACTTAATACTGTATTATATTGTTGTACCAATTTACTGTCAGTATCTTCAGCACGTCCAAGAGTGAGTACATAGGGTGAAACACATCTACCATCATTGTAAATTCTTTTTTTCTTTTTTTTTTAGCATATTTTCATRTAATAGTTTTAAGTGCTAAATTAAGGCCTGAGCTAATATTATGGAAAACTTAAATGAATTTGGAGTTTGAGGGAATTTTACTCTTTAGTTACTCTTTACCTTGCTGTCTTGGATGTTATCAAAACAAGACTTGGTTATGTCCTTTTCCAGTTGTAGCTACTTTTTGCCAAAAGATTTTTTAGTAGCAATAAGCAGGAAAATAAGGACACGGACAGCTTCAGAAATACTTTGTTTGCTTTGGCTCATTAATTGGAACAGAATGATGAATTTGATAGAACATGTTTTGGGTCCCTTCTCACACACTCCCAGATCTAGAAGACACCTTAACCATCATATTCCACGGCAAGTCTGAGTACCTTTTTTGCATTATTTTCCAAGTCAGTATTTGTCAAAAATAATTCCTATGATGGGATTTTCAGTGTTTAACATGAAAAACAATTAAACTTTTTTGGTGAGGTCCTAAAGCACTCAAGATATTCAGGCATGTAATATAAATTAAAATATATGTTTATAGAACATATTTTTGGAGATAACTATTGTGGATGCTGCTGTGGAAGTCATGTGATGTGTAATTTTTTCTAAATTTATTAATGTAGACAATTTGATCTACCACTAAATAGTTGGTTGGAATTTAGCAAATAAATCTTCTGCTCCAAGTTTCCTTACTGAATACTTGGGAATGGAAAAATTAACTTTCCTAATGACACATGAAGATTGATTAATTAATTAATGTTTAGAGAGTACCCAGAGCTCTTTAAAAACTAGAAATGATAGACACTTTATGAATGCTAAGTATATTTTGTTATTCAGTTACTTAGTGTCAATATCTTTGTGCTAAATGCTTCACTTTGCTATACCACAACTTTATGAATAATTAAGAAAACATAACATTTACTGACAGATATTAAATGATTCTTACTCCACAGATTTTSAAACAACTGCAGTCTTTTACTGCCATGTACTTTGCTCTCAATTTTTGCTGTCAAGGTCRTCATTTGTTTATTGTTGATAAATGATGTAACAGATATTTACTACTACAGCTATTCAATTTACTAATACCTTTGGTTTATCAGGTTTCTCATATGTCCATTTTTAATCTTATTTGTTCATTTGCCTTTCTCAAATGTCTGTTCTTTGCTTAATATCTTATGCTTCATTCACAGTTGTTCAGACCATAAGTTCTTCAATGTGCTCTGCTGTTTTCATAGTCATTCCTGATAAATATGAATATGCCTTTCTAATAATATGGAGTTTTAAATCCTTCCAGTATGTCAAAGACCTTGATAAGCTTTTAAAAAACCCATAAATCTATGCATTCTGATTATATTCTTGTTTTTTTTTAAAAAAAAGTCTCATTACATAAACCTGAGAGTGCTATAGAATTTAATAAAGAGAGAGGCACAACACTAGTTTTCACATTCCATTTATGAGAACTGCCTTCCATTCCTCTGAAACTTTTTCAAATCTCTGAAAACAACAAAATTACTCTGCACAGCCTGTGACTTAACCTATCCCCTTCTACTTTTAATAATTTAGTGGGCACCGTGTCAACACCTGGTGCTTAGCTCTTCCAAGGCTTCTAATTGCCTCTTTGAATCTAATCAAAATTGAGTTCCACAAACAGCTCAGCTGTATGAAAGATGACCATTTGCTGTTCACCTTTATTGGCTTTATCATTAAGCAGCTCATTAAAGTACTCCCCTCCATCCCTCGGTAATTTCATTCTTTGAAAATAAGAGATTTCCATTTTCATTGTTTATCAGATTTGCAAGAAATTGATATTCTGTGCTCCAGACACAGCTTATCCCTTGAATGCTCTCAGATGTCAACATTTCTGTCCTCTCCACCATGCCATTCCAATTTTGTCTTTTGTGTTGGCTTAATCTCTTGGCATTTTCTTCTGATTCATGAAACTGATCCTGGTTCAGAAGACGTTCAGTCCTTTCTGCATGCTGATCCTGATTGCTTTCCAACTACGTGCATCATCCCATGGCACAGTAGTTGTTTTTGGAATTATTCTGCTAGTTTCTTGAGCAGTTTTCTTGCTCTCTTTCTGATTGTCTTACGCTCATTATCAGTATCATCTATTTATTTCATATACAAATATTGYGAAGCTTGAAAACTGTTCTTAGCCRCTACTCAGTGAGTAGCATATGTGTTTATCTATAGCACATATGTTTAATTTGACACTCTGCTGGGACAAGGCTGTCTCCTGCTATAACCTTTTAAAGATTTTATGCTCAACAAGTTGTTCACATTCCCCATGCTACATTTTCTGTTCCTGTGGACTTAGAATATTCTCAGTTTATATCCTTTTCTTGCATCCTTTTCTTACCTTGGCAGTCTAGCATTTCTGCTTTTTCATTACTTAAGTGGTTGCGAGACTTTTGTKCTCTTAGATGAAGAAAAGGCCTTCAAATCTAAGTATTAATACCTCAGTTTGGCACCTCGTCTTTAGCCTGCCAGGCTTGCTACCGTCAACAGAACTTTTAGACTCAAACGTACACCCAAAATTTAGAAAATCCTAGCTACAGCAGGCATGCTAAACCCTCACCAAGCTTCCTTAATATCAAGGGGGCCAGGGGATTGTTTTGTTTTTCTTTTTTCTGATGTTGGTGATATTTTGGAGAAGATATTTTTAAGTAAATTTCTGCTATGGCTACCTGACCATATTGCCATATAGTTGTTCTCATTTACTTGATTGCTATTTTAAACAGTGTGCCTCTGCTGTGCCATCAAAGGAACACCTACTGCTTTATGGTCCAAAGTTCCCTTCACCACTAAGCTACTGATATTACTAGTGTTATACTAGGAATAAATTATTTTTTAAAAGAAAATAAATTAATCCATTCTTCAAAAGGAGCCTTTAAAATTGCACAGCTCAAAGGTGTCTGAAAAGAGTAGCATGCACAGTTTGTGCTTTACTCTGTCTTTGCCCAAGCTTCTCTGTTACAGCAAGCTCCCTTTGTTATAAAAATTACCAAGCCAAGAGGAGTGCTTTGAAGCTTTGTTGGCTTCTGCCAGCTTTACAAAACGTTGCTTTGATGTTTTGATGGCAAACAACATAGAAGCGCAAAGAATTCTTTATTTGTGTTTCTGTGACAGTGCAATGTGCAAGTAGTAGTTTTTTCTGTCCAGAGAGATCAACTTGTTTGATTTATAGTCTCTGTTTAAAATTGAAGCCAACAGGAAGGCCATCAACTGTACTCATACAGATTATGATTTCAAGACCGAAAATGGCATCACTATATTCTTAAGTAAAGCATAAAGCCAYAAACAACTGGACTTTTTACTTTCTGATTCCTCACTTGAAAAGCCA